TGATGGAAAAGTCTTGAGACACAAATTTACATGGATCGTCATGTCTCTAAAACAGCCTTTGGCACCGTCATGATTTCACCACATTCACGACGACGCCCCTTTTCCACTTTTCGGTCGCGTGGGACGGACGCGATTTTGTGGGCGCCGCCGCCTCACCACATAACCGCAGATTTTGTTTTGTAAATGTCACAAAATAATTTCTGCAATGTCCAATGCGTAAAGATTATCTAAACATATAACAGTAGGATTTCGATCAGAACGACAAATAGTGGTTACGAAAAGAGAGCATTTATTCACTTTCCCCGTGAAGGAATTTAAAAGCATTTTACACTCGATTACGAGATTTGCCCACCTATCTGTCCATTCCTAGCGCCTGGCAAGCGATTATCAGTTGGCAGCCCATATGGGCTGCCATCGTCCCAGGAGCGCATGTTGTTGGCAGCCCATATGGGCGGCCATCGGCGTGAATGTGTTAAGTAGGTCCCCGAGCCCTTCTCGTATAAACCATGTCGCAATTGTCAAGATGTCAACTTCGAGCAATCTACGAGTGGCGCCGCGGTTCCAGTGCTCGTTCCGCTGCCTCCAATATCAACACTGCATTCGGAGAGAACCTCGTCAGCCATGCGACGGTTAGTCGTTTATTCGCTCGTTTTCAGTCTGGAGATACGATGCTCGACGACGATCCTTGCTCCGGGACCAGCTGTTCTCGCACTCGCACAGAAATCGAAGACGACCGACTTCTCAACGAAGTGAAGTAGAAGTCGGAGGCTACGAGCAGGGAATTGGCGGAGCTTCTCGAGTGCGATCACAGCAACGTCGTTCGACACCTTCACGAGCACGGTTACAGGAAAGTTTTCGCTCGATGGATTCCGCACCAACTGACCGACGATCTGCGTCACACGCGTGTCTCAATCGCCCAGTCGCTCCTCCTTACCCCAAATCGGAAGGAGTTTCTGCAGGATCTGGTTACCGGGGATGAAAGCTGGATCTTCTACGACAACAACAAGAGGGTCGCTGTCTGGCTCCCAAAAGGAGAAGATCCACCCGTGCAGCCCAAGCCAGGACAGCACTCAAAAAGGTTTTGCTGTGCTGCTTCTGGGACTCAAAGGGAATGCTATACCATGAGTTGCTCCCTCAAGGCCAGGCAGTCACGGCTACCATTTACAGTCGCCAGCTTCAGGAACTCGCTTATGCAATCGAAGAAAAGCGACCGAGAAGGGTTTCTGTACATCTTCTGCATGATAACGCTCGGCCTCACGTCGCAAAGATCACGCAGTCCAGGCTACAGGAGCTCAGCTGGAATACCGTTCCCCACCCTCCCTATTCCCCCGACCTCGCCCCTTCTGACTATCATCTTTTTAGGCACCTCAAGCAATTCCTGGTCAAGAAGAAGTTCGCCACTTTTGGTGACCTCAAAAATACTGTGGCTGACTTCTTTGACTCACAGTCCTCTTCTTTCTGGGAGAAGGGAATAGCCGACTTGCCTGCTCGTTGGATGAATGTCATAGATAATGATGGTGATTATATAGTTTATTGAGTTAGAGTTTGAATAAAATTGTAAAAGATTTTTAAACACGCATCCGAGTGTCTCAAGACTTTTGCACCAACCTAATATTATAGAATTCAATTTGATTGAAGGTTGAAGTACTAGTCGGCATCGTTGAGATCCGATCCTCATATCTGCTATGTGCATCTCCCATCACAACGCTACCTTCTCTCCTGGCAAATTTAGGAGAAAAATTAAAGCAACAGTCCAAGCAGGGTTTCAACCATTCGATCCTAAGGAGTGGAAGCATGCACTAGTCAAATACACTGGAAATGTCACTGGTTTGAAAACTTACCTTTGAAAGGCGTTGGAAGGGGTCTAACGCCGTCGAAGTGGGCGGATCCACCCGAGCCTCGGTACGGCCGCCCACTTCAGTCGTGAAGAGTGCGTGATTGGCTGCGCAGACATTTGCGGTCGTTTCGGGACCACCGGGACTATTTGAGGTCGATCCTTTAAAGCAATCGATGGGGTGATGCCGACTACGCTGGATTTCTACGTTTTTTCCTTCTACCTTCTTCCTTCAAAGTAAATCGATTTCATTATGCGCCACAGTTACACGCAGCAGTTGTATGACGTTGGACACCCTTCCAAGTAGCCAGCTACTTGCCAGCAGTTGCAATTGGGGCGCATTTACTGCGGGCATGTTCAGACAACTCGTCCAACACGCGTCTTCCTCCACTGCTAAGTGGCAGAGGGGAGTCCCTGTCTAAGTCCCTGTTCGACGTCTTTTTTTTTCTTTCATTATTGGTCAACTTTTCACCTACTTCATTATCGGTGGTTCTAGCCGCGAATTCGTTCTTGGATTGTTGCTTTAACGTGATGAAAAAAGTGACTGGCTAAAGCTCCGCCGGACACTTTCCTCTCTGAGCTTGCAAAGGCGCTGAAAATTCCTTAGCTGAAAACGGAGCTGAATTTGCTGCGATATTAATATTATAGAATCAAGCCAAAGTCGAGAACGCTTCCAGTGTTGCCCAAAGTTGTTTTCATCTCCACGGCAGTGACGATGCTGAAGATTCTATCGATTAGGGAATTTAGGCCTGCCACCCCGGAGACGGCGCTTCTAGAACGTCTGCGAATCCTGCGACTTCAGTTTCTACATCAACCGTCTGACAGTCGTCTCGAGTGGATTCATCGTCGTGAACGATTTCCTCGTATTACTGTTTCAATAAAGCATCCAAGCTGCTCACGTCAGGTACCTAGCTTTCACGAGGTCCGAACCTTGAGTATTCTGCCACCATCGATTTCGAGTTAGCCGAAGTCTTTCTTCCGAGCTGCTTCTTTTACTCTTCAGTATGCTAAGGAGGTTTCAATTAGTATCAAGACCACCGCCAAAATACAACTTGCACATTGCAGCTGCTTCATGCTTTGACAACTGTTGTTTAACACTTCGGAATGGGAACTGATTTCGCGCGCGCGTAATCGATATGCCTCATTCAGCACATATATTTGCTAGAAGTCTTTGAATAGGATATCGCGCAAAGTCGCTCACGGCATACTGCATGCGCGGAATTATTTCGAGTGTGGTAATAGCACTCAATTATAGGAGCGCCCAGAGTGGCATTGCTCGAACCAACCATCGCGCGCCGAGCGGAAACTCGCGCGATGTCGCGCGGTGACCACTCGCTACATGGCTTTGCTAGTGTAGCGACTAAGAATAAAAACTTACGGACAAAAAAGGATATACTGAATATCGAATATTTGTCCAAAAAAGGAAAAATCAAAATTCAAGCATTTCAAACAAAAAAAGCGCAGAACGAAGCCAACGATACGGAATTATGCTAGCCATGGAACTGAAGCTCTTCCGAAATAAAGCGCTAAGAGCCTTGAAAACTTCACATGGCTGTTGATGAGCACGAATTTGGGTGTTTCGGCAACTTAACGTCATGAGATGCTGGAAAATAGAGGACGGCAAAGACCTCATCTCCACCATCAAGCACATTTTTTAAATTCTTTATTAATCTACTTGATTTTTGTGAGTGAATCGAAAAAATCGAAACAAAACACAATTATGACTATCAAATCCGAATAGGGCTCTGTTTTCTTTCGCACATCGTATTACAATTTTGGGTGAGGAAAATAAAACAAACACTGCTTGTTGAGGAACAGGCATCTAATAAAACGAAAAGAGAAGGCTTTGAGTGGGGAACACGAAGGATGAACAAAAGAACAAAGAATGGCAAGAGGAGCAAAGAAACAGAGAATTGAAATCACATATAGAAATCTGGACATCTCCCATCTTTGTGATCGATGGAAAATAAATGCGCAGAGTAGACGACGGTAGGAGACTGACTAATCGTCCGACTTTCGTTCCACATCGTCACTCATCTGAGAGAATCAGGCGCTTTTTTGAGAATTGACTGCGTACTGACGACTTACTACCAAACTAAATACGACAACACTACGATATCATGCGCTACATGCTCACGTCGTGCGACATGGCAGAATTCGCGCTTCTAGGCCCTATGCTATTTTCTCACTAGGCGGAGCGATTGGTAACCTGACTCGTGACGTTCTGTCGAAAGGCAAAAGCTTCGCCCCAGACGGCCCCGCCCACCAGAAAGCTCTGCCCACACAGTGTTGGGTGAAATTTAGTGAAAAGATGGCTGGGGACGCAGCGGTTTTGATGACGCCATTAGACGCCACTGCTGGACCAAACCCTCAGCGCGCTGGGGGTGGGCCCTCAAACAATCGTGTTCACTGCCTTCAAGGAGACACCTCTCGGCGGGAAAGTACAGTGTACGAAGACTGCCTCAGAAAGTTGCGCATATTGACCCACCCGACATAGTAATTATTCTAGCGGGTACCCGACAGGAGGCCCGTCGCGCGGCAAGAAGGCAGAGTCAGCGGACGAGTCGCAGCGCGTACTGTAGTGATTTCGCGTCAAGTTAAATAGAATGTACCATTGTACGTCCTACATCGCACATCACGCGCTGCGACTCGTCCGCTGACTCTGCCTTCTTGCCGCGCGACGGGCCTCCTGCCGGGTACCCTATCCTGGCGCTGAGCCATGCTAGCAGCGAAACGCGCGCATGCGCGCAGAAACACGGAATACAATAATGATAAATTGGATAGTATATGGTAAAGGGTGTAGAGACATATTTTCATATATAATTGTAAAGCAATTTACATGCAATACACACATTAAGCATAACGTTGGCGATGATGATGATGATCTGTTATGCTTGAGAGTTGATTTCACAACAGCCGTACAATACACGAACTCCAGTACAGGTAGAAAGAGAGCAACATAACAACGTATACAACGCGCAATTTGAGGCCACAAGTTAAGAAGTTAAAAAGAAAAAATAGAAAAAATAGAAAAGAGGAAAAAAGAAACCAAATTTCTTGCTCTAAAACTGAATGTAGAAGTGAACTTCGCAAACATATACAACGAAAAAGATGTGGAAAAGTGAAAGTGAAGAGAAAAAAGGAATCGGGTTCACTGTGTTCATTCTCAATAGACCACGACCATAACGTCAACAACCTGAACGAGATGAATTTCACTGGAATCTTCTCATTCAGTAAAAAGGCACGAAGAAACAGTGAACTCGATTACTGTACCTAGTGTGACCCATAATTCGCGCACCGATCAGTACGAAATGAAATACTGAGCACTTCAGCAGACTACTGTCTGCAAGACCTCCACAACACTTTCAATCAGGGCCTCTTAAAACCGCTTCCTTGCTCAGTGAACAAGCAGCACAATAGCCAGAGCTTCAGGTACAACTGCACTGAGCCATTGTAGTTGGCAGCGACACACTGTGGGGATGAAAGCATTTGCTCCGGCGTGGATCACGCAAAGCATGGCAACCATCGGTTCAGACAGTCCCGACGGGGAAGGGGTTGTATTTAGGACTGACCTGGGTTATGCATCACTCCAAAAGGCGCGAAGTGGAGTTGCAGTGGTGGAAATTGAAGTGGTCGGGTGTTGGGGAGAGGAAGCCGTGGAAATATGCATGAGGTAGGCGAAATTCATAGTTTTTTAGTCATGTCTACCCTCCCCTCATCCTCCATTCGACACCAGTTTCGCGGGACATTTGGGACGGACAGAAGCAGTGCTAGTAGCGAGATGACGGATGATCGTATTTGTGGGTGACTCTCTTCACGTGTGGTGTGGAGGGTCGAATCGAGCCTGTGACAAGGGAACCGCGACTTTCGAAACCGATTTAGCGCCGAATCTTCTGCGTCCGCGCGCACAAGACCGCGCGGTAAGAAACCGCTTGGGCTAATCGATAACAAAGTCTTGAGACACAATCTCACCAATTAGGTTTCACCCATTTGAATACTTTGCGTGACGCATGGTGGTAAGTGCTGTTGATCCTGTACAGCTGGCTGCCAATTCTCTGAGCCAAGAAGCAACCCCTAGTTTCCTCCTTTTCTGCGCTGCGCGACTTATGGGAGACTCCACAGGTCACACTAGTCATGACACATTACGTGCTGTACTTTATAAAATGATCATTTCTGAGTCGACTAGAAGCCTGAAGACATCGTGGCGTAATCGATGAAGAGTACGTGCAATACGAGGGGGCATGCGTTCATTCATACAACATAAAGCTGGTCCACACACACAAACTCTATGACACGCCGTGACCGTTTGTGGATGAGTTCAAATGTCGTAATCTTGGAAGTGAGAAACGACCTGTTGCAGGCCGAGCTCGATCTTCGACTGTTCCCTTATTTCGAACTTTTTCACTTTCCCTGTCACAGTGAGCGGGAATTCGTGCTCTTTCTTGAACAGGATATAGCGAGGAATCTTGAAATGAGCGATCTGAAGAGGGAATTTCATTTTTGATAGCTTATAGGTCCAAAGGCTAAGAGAACCTTTACCTTTCCTTTACACCAATTCTTGATGTGCTCCTCGTTGATCTCACCGACAGCTGATTCATGTAACCGAATCCACGCACACACCGATTCGCCGTATCTTTCGTCAGGTACACCAACAATCTGAATAGATTTCTCATCTCGTAAGCAGCGTTAATAGTTGGCAATCGTATATGCGATCAGGCAATAGGCGAGTGAGATGCATACGTATCGATTGTTTGCTCAGCCGACTGAGCGATCTGCTAATTGCCTAGTTGCATATACGATCGCGAACTATGGACGCTGCCTTCAGTCAATTAGTCACGTAATGAATTTTGATGAAGAATATTTTAATCACTTCAGCTGTCTAAAAGATGACAAAAAGACTATCCGCCCTGGAAGATGCCACGGAAAACCCCACTCTTGATCACTTCGATGGAAAAGACTCACATGTGCGTCTTCGATCTTCGGATGCTTGAAGAGGAACTGTTCGACTTCCGTCGGATAGATGTTTTCGCCGCCCCGAACGATCATGTCCTTTGAACGGCCAACTATTGAGATCGTACCGCCGTTGTCGTGCATCACAGCAATGTCACTAAACAATGAGATTGAACTTACATTTGCTGCCTAGCCAGTAAAGTCGCCGTCTTTCGAGGAGGTAAGCAAAGCAGCCCTTTTGGCGTTTCTGCTGGAGCCGTATGCTGGATGTTGGGGAGGGGATGGGGTCCCGAGATCGACGGACTACTTCAACTCGATCGATTCCATTTAACACACGTTGACGACGAGCGATTTTTTCCTTGTCGCGCGCATGGGACGAGACGTTTTTTGCATGCAAAGCGCCGGTAACACAGGGCAAAACCTATTCTGTAGCTCTGTAGAATCTCGAAATGCACAAAATTCCCGACTTGTTTTGTTTTGTTTTGGGATCACAAATCTCTTTGACTTAGAGTACTCCAGACACTTTAGAAACAAGGAAAAGTTGTTACTACTGACTGCTGGGTGGAATTTCAGTGACATCGCCTGGCATTTCTCAAACCTCATGTTAGAATAGGTTCTGAAGGCGCAATTTCACGCATTCTTCATTTTTATTATTAATATGAGCTTTCCTTTAGATGGTACTGGTATCCTGATCACATCTGAAATCTTCTACGAATTTTTCGACGCAAAAAAACTTTGCGTACCTGACGGAATGAGCTTTTGTTTGACTGTTATCTTGTTCTTCATGATCGAATAAGAGATTTAAACGAGTCATTTCAAGGTCAAAAAATTGTTTGTGAAATATTTGGCAGTTGATGGACTGGATAGGTACTTTTGTCCTGCCTATGAGTAAGACTGAGCCTACTTGACCATCATGGGAACCTAAGGCTAGAATGGACATTCTACTGACGGTGACCTAATTAGTAAAGGTCGATATGAACAATTTTAGTGAGATTTCCAGTTTGCTGACGGTGGGAACTTTGTGGTTGTGATTCAATTGACAGCGCGTTTCTGCCACTGAACTAATTCAGAATAAAACTCCCAGGAATTAGAAAGATCATAATTCGCAGACAAGTGTAGTAAGTTAGGACACTGAAGTAAACGTTGAAATAGAAAAGTCGCGGGTTCCATCTAAGTTTGCTTACTTTCAAGCTGTCGGTCACCATTGACCGACATCGTCGCCAACTGTGTTAATGGAAGTATGAACGATAGGTGGTGCACGCTAGGTTCCAGCAACTCCGCTAAAAGGGCTGGTTTAATTACTCTAGGACTAAGCTTGCTCTCGCAGGTCCGAGTACAGTCCTGAGGTAAGCATCAAATTGAGGCGGTTTTAAGGAACCGAGTTGAAGTAGTTCGTTGACCGTCGGGATCCCCATCGCCTCCCCAACATTCAGCATACGGCCCCAGCAGAAACGCCAAAGGGCTGGTTTGCTTACTTCTCTTTCGAGTGGCCACTTCATCTGGCAATACCCCTAAGCAATGCTATCCCCTTGTTTTCTTCAAAGGCACTACCTTCAACGAAACTAGGACTGGATGTGTTAGGTCAGGCAAATTTAGCGCATCTCGCCTAGAAGATTTTTTGAAGATACACAATTTGACTCCACCATAAGCTCACAGAGGGCACGGATGAGCTGCGTGGCGTCGTTCAATCCTTCTTCCCCCAGTGTAAATACTACAGTCAACCCGGAAATTATGAGGAGATTCTCTTTGATTTCGTGCTCCGTCAGGGTGATCATGAGCAATCTCAACGCTTCAATAAAGTAAACATAAGGCTTACCTCCGTATGCTACCAATCATCTCAGTGATTTCCTCTTCGTACTGTCTTCACTATTCCAATAACATCGCATCACCGAATATCCGCGTACGATTACTTCACCTTTTTCGCCTCGCGGAAGTATCTTGCCATGTTTGTCAACCCACAGCAGCCTGCAAAAACGCGATGGAGTTACACAGAGACAATAAATTTGACAACATGAAACACTCGGTTTCACCAAAAAGAACGGAGTGGGGAGACGACACCAAAAATTCGCACAACATTGCGAGGCAACGCTCCGTTCGGCAGTGTCTTGACGTTAAAAGGGCACTAGCAAGTCGAACATATGTTGTATTGTTTAACCTAGTTCAAAATCGTTCAACCACACGACTCTTAAGGCGCGTTCATAGTTCGCGACTCCGGAGAGTAGGATAGTGCGCGACAATGAAAAAGATATGTATTGACGGGGAGATTAGGATAGTAGTAGATTAGGATAGTGGAGAGTAGGATAGTGCGCTGACAAGATTAGATACGTATCGATTGAAATCGCTGGAGAGTAGGATATTACGATATTCACGATAGTAGGATAGTAGTAGAGTAGGCGATTAGGATAGTAGGAGAGTAGGATAGTGCGCTGACAAGATTAGATACGTATCGATTGAAATCGCTGGAGAGTAGGATATTACGATATCACGATAGTAGGATAGTAGTAGAGTACGCGAATTAGGATAGTAGGCTATTCCGCTGAACATATCAGATACATATTGACTGAAATCGCTGGCGAGTAGGATATTAAGCGACCAGTGTTGATTTGCAAAAGTTGGCATTGTTTCCGAATTTTGGGCTGAACTGGCTTGTTTTCTTGACTCAACGTGTCTTCATGATTTTTGTCTCTCCTGAATGATTAAACTAACATTTTGTTTCCTTGTTAACATTTACATAAATCATTGATTACCTAGAGCTCAATTTGCACCGGCGCTCATGTCCTTGGGGGGAGGACATCCCAGTGAGTGAGCCAATTACTGTACTTGGGACTGAGCCTTAGGCAGAGGAAGGGATTTTGGTGCTAACTTAGTTGGGGGGGGGCACGCGGCGGCGCGGCAGTCTGCTCGCCTGGCATGTTCGGAAATCCGTGGGCCAGGGGGAGTGTAGCCAGTCTAGGGGGGTGGGGGGTGGGGGCAGTCACTTGACATGCGTGAAAAGCTGGAATGTTCGAGTTTACACTGTCTCGCTCGAGAGAGCCCAGGTGAGCAGACTGCCGCGCCGCCGCGTGGCCCCCCCAACTAAGTTAGCACCGGGATTTTATGGGAAGATGCAAGCAACACCTTCCTTGTTCTTGAGTTGGATGAAGAAATTGAAAAATCAATACCTACACGTTAAAATAGCTGTAAGTCATCAACACCCATTTAAGACACGTGGCTACGGATCAGAAGGAGTCTGTTGATTTCACAGGAAATTCAATTATGACTTAATCTAGATAAGAACTCAAGAAAAGAAACTAAAAGAAAAGAAAAGTAGGCAGGAAAAGAAAACAGGCATAATAGGAGTATTGATTTTCTATTTGTGGTCGCTTACTATCCTACTATCCTAATCTCGTACTCTACTAATATCCTACTATCCTAATATCCTGATCAATATGTATCTAATCTGTTCAGCGGAATCTACTACTATCCTACTATCGTAATATCGTAATATCCAACTCTCCGGCGATTTCAGTCGATACGTATCTAATCTTGTCAGCGCAATCTACTACTATCCTACTCTCCTACTCTCCTATCGCCAGTCGCTCAGTATCCTACTATCCTACTCTCCGACTATCCTACTATCCTAATCTCCAGTGTCGCGAACTATGAACGCGGCCTAAATGTTCATGGACTTTCTCACATCTCTTCGATAGCTTCTACTATCTTGTTGACTTCAAAGGCAAACTAAATATATTAGATGGAACACCAATCGGCCGCCCGGAACGGCTAATACCGTAATCCGCCGGCTGCATGTATTTTTGGATAGTCACCCGCGGTAAGGGTGGCTTTGGTGACAAGACGGATATCGCAGTCCGTGGTGTGAGCGTTCAATCCATCTAATTCGTTGAAAGGGCGCGGCCACGGGTTACGGTAACAGTCGTTCCGCGGCCTTTATTATCTGTCTGTAACAAATATATTGGAAAATATAGGTTTGCCAGTCACGGTAAAGCGCAGAGCTACCAGATGCAGCTGTGAGAGAGTTGAGGATTTTGGGGAAAGGAGGAGGAAACCGAAGTGATGGGGGTAAGAACGGCCATGGCTGCGTTTCGTGGCCTCTAGGATCTTAATTTCAACGCGCTAATTACCGTGACAAGTAAAACAAAGGTGATATAGTAAATTAGTTTTTGCACCTTGTTTTGCTATCGTCTATTGAGAAGAAAGTTCGAAAAAAAAGGCATTCTGTGCCCTGTTACTGCTGATGATTACGTGAATTTCCGAAAAATTTGGATATTTTGTGAATTTCCGGTGAAGTATTTTTTTTTACCCTTCGTTCTCGTTTCTATTCAACAAAGATGTCCTTACTCAGAGTAATTCTCACTTCTCAAAACATACTAAAGTATGATCAAAATTAGTGAAACCAGCCGAAAAATCAAATCCACTCTTTCATTATGGGCTGCCGTGCACGTTGTATCCGGTACTCGAGCAGAAAATGGCACTCAAAGGCAGACGAGGCATCTAATAATCCAACAGCATCATTGATTAATATCGATTTTCACGACCATAACGCCGCGAGTATCTACAGTCGATATCCGAAAGTTGGGGTAGGTGTGGCACCGCAAGTGACGTGCACTTGATAGAAGTTGCGTTGATAAGCTGTTGCCAGCATGCTTTTGCTGATATCTAGCGATATATGTTGGAAGCAGCTTATCCACATAGCTTCTATCAAGTGCGGCGATGGCCACGTCATTTCCGATGACACACCTACCCCAACTTTCGGATATCGAGTATACCTCGTATTTCAGAAATCGAGAAGAGCATCGAGTGCAGACCACATCACCACAAGTGACGATCAGTCGTATAAAAAATTGTTCCGTCGTCATTGTGTCTGTGGTGCTCCGCACTTTGACGCTCTTCGCGTATTCCGAAATAGAGGGTACTACTGTTTTGTAGGGTCTGTTGCCCGACTGAAGGACATCTGCGACGCAGTGTACTGACGAAAAAAAACATGTTAAGACCTGTGAAGCATACCATTGCTTTTGAACAGCAAACAAAACAAAACATGTCAAGATGCGTAAAAGCTAGCGACGCGACGCCACTCTTTATTTCTATTCTGCAGTTCTCGTTGTATTCTCCTTCAAGTGCTGCTTCTTTGCTTTTACTGCATTTTG